AGTGAGTGCTAGCAAATCTCAGAGGCAAGTGACTGTTAAATAATAAAGTGAAGTATCTGAAGGTTACGAACTGATATGATGAATAAGTCTCACGCAGGCCTAGCATGGATAAAAGATGATAAAATTTTTAAATGTAGGTATAAGTTTTTAAAAGTTAAACATTTTATAATGTAGTTATAGTCATTCATGTAAATTGCTTTCCATTTTATCTAAGCTTCACATGGCACAGGTACAATTATGCGTGGCAATAAATGACCTAAACTAAACCATGTTTCATGTTTTACTCATTTGGCACAAATGGTCTTAAAGATTTTAGGCTGAGCAAGGTATTCCATCATAGGGATTTTGTTTAAAAAAGCCAGTTCATTCACCCAGGATAAATCCTGGTCCCACTGCCAGCTCACACCCCCCAAGCAGATCAAGCCATATAACAGTTACTTACATTCAGAGAGCCTAGTTAGGTCCCATGCAGGTTCCCCAGGTATCAGTCCAGAGTCCTTTAGCTTCCACTAGCTCTGGTCAGCTTGGTCAACCTCTATACAAGAGGTAAGGGCTTGGTCTGCCTCAATTTGGTATGACAGACTTTGTTGACTCCCCAAGGGAGGCCCTAAACCCTCTGAGGAGTAGATTGGGGGTGGGTGAGGGAGGCAGGAAAAGGGAAAGGAGGGGCAATTGGGGTTGGTATTTAAATAAAATTAATAACTAACTAACTAAATAGATTTTAGACCTTCAAAATTGTTGATTGTGTAGCTGGTCATCTATTAACCATGAATCTTAAATCAACAGAGAGAAAATGGTACCTATATTCTATAAATTTTCATCTAACTTCTTCAGGCCACTTCATCATAAATGATGATACAAATTGATTGATGTTAAAGAATATTCTAGTCTGCTTTCCTCAAACTAGCTACCTTGTGGAATTTCCATAATTGAAACTTAGTTTTCTTCATATACAAGAAACAGACAACAGTGGCATATATTTTTAAGAAAATGTCCCAGGTTGGCAGATGGATACCAAAGTGCAGACAGATTATTCACCAGTCCCTAAACCAACATGCATCTCAAGAATGAAAAGTAAAATTCCAAAACAGACATAACTTTGACACTGCATGCTACTAGGTTACATAAGATATTGACTATAGATCATATGTTTAATAGTCACCATACAATAAAACTTGAACCTTGGAAATAATATGAAGTCAACTCAGTTAATAAAAACCAAATATACAATAGGAATATCAGATCATATGATAAAGAATTATTAGAAAACAAATCTAATTAGAAATTCTTCCTATTTCACAGTTAAGTAGGGCTTAACAGCACTAAATTGAATTATAAGTAATAAAAAATAATTTCAATAAGAGGCATACTTGGTAGGAAATAATTTAGAGTGTAAATTTTCCTAAGGCTCTAATATGTATCTTTCTTTGTACCTTTTCATGGTACGATATGTCTATTTCATTGTATCAAATAAAATCTAGGTTTGATACAGAAGAATTAAAAAAGACACCATATAATATAATAAGCTCTAGCTTTTGTAAATATGTGTTATTGAATTTCCCTTTGTTATTGTTAATTGAAAATGGTCACAACTTTATAATAAAATGTGACTAACTGAAGGAATCTTAGGATGAGCAGAACACACACACATGAAAATATTGTAGTGAAACCCATGATATAATTTTTGTTATCATATAAAATAATGAGGTATTTTAAATCAGAAAAACAAATATAGTTAAAAATATTAACGGTGAAAAAGTCTTTGACAGAGGTACATATGAGGGTGGATGATAGAAGATGCAGAGCCAAGAATTTAAGAGGAGAATGGGTAGCATTGCTGAGTACCTTCACCTCTTCAGCTACAGCCCGGTAAGGCTGAGGTTAGACGTGAGACCTAAACACAACTTTATGCTTGTTTTATTTTTTTGTTTGTTTTTTGTTACACGCTATGAAAAAATTAAAACGGCTTAAAGGGTAAACCAGAGATAAGTCCCAGATGAAGAATTTTATTGGGTTGCTTTAATATCAAGGAAATATTTCACCCAGACAAGAAAAAGTGAAATGGTTGTCTCAAACAATATTTCCTCCTCTTCTTGTTGTTGATTAATTGTAACCTCTTGGCAATGAATTTATTCTCACATTCTGACTATCCACAAGTGAATAGCTGGAGGAGACAGGCTAGCTCTTGATACTCAAAACATTTTAGTGTTGCAGAAATAGGGTGGTATTTTCAATGTCCTATGTTGAGATAGAAATGGAAGTACATATGATATGAACAGTTACAAGACTGGACTGTCATTTTTCAGAAAGCATCTGAAAATTATATAGCCCTCTTTCACATTCTCACTCCTCAACAAATTGTTTCTTTTCAGCCAGCAATATTTTCCTGTTTCTTGGTTAACAACTATTTCTTCGAAAAGATCTGTGTTGAGTTGTCACAAACTGCAATAAATATAGTTTATTGGTTTATTTATAGGCCATCAGAGGCCACTATAATAAAATTACACTCAATGTGAACACAACCTACTAAATTAACTTTTTCCATGCCACAATATGTTGTTCTCATCATCAAAACTAAAAATGCCTCCATCAGTTGTCATGTTTTTCCCAGGGAGTAATTTGGATAATTCAGTTATGATTTAGTAACAGAAAGCAATCATTTGTAAACCATACACTGATACTTTAAAGAGTCCATAAAGCCTACTAAGCTCTCCTTCCTACTTCCCAAGGGTAGACAATGTACTTTAAAGGTCTGTCTAACTACGTGAAAATATTTTAACTTCAGATGTATTGCTATGCTAACATATTTCTTATTTTAATGTGAAGTGGTTCAGTATCACTTAGACAAGTGCGTCTGCTCTTCAAAAATTCATTAAGAAGCAGTTGAGATCTCCTGAAATTGAGCTTCCCAAGGTGGCATATTTAGGATCTTTTTTCTATTGAAAATATTAACTGTGAAATTTCATGTGTGAGCAGTCAATTATCAGAACTACACAGTGGACAACTTTTAGCAATGGCTAATCAAAGTCAGTAAATTTCCCATTTGCATGTGGGTATGTGATAGTGAGCTCTATTTGGGGCTGTTGATAAACACTCACTGGCACAATTTCTTGCTTCATCAGAGCGTGTAACTGAAGTGAAGACTGACATCTTTGTCACCAGTTTTGGACCTGTTTCGGACCATGACATGGTAAGTGACACTATGTATTTGATTTTGGGGGGATTTGTTAAGGTTTTCAAAATTAAAATATAATTGCACCATTTCCCCTTCCCTTAGCTCCCTTTTAAGTAGCCTGTCCCTTCATGTCTGTATGTGAAATCATGGTCTCCTTTTCTTTTGTTGTTATAAATGCCTAACATACAGTGCTCATCACATTTAGTGTTCCTTGTGCTTGTGTAATTTCAGGGCTGACCACTTGGAGATAACCTATTAGGGGACTCATTCCTAGGGAAGACTAATTCTCTACCTCTCAGCCTTCTTTAGTTGCCTGTAGTTCTTTGTCTTTTGGTGAATTCCTCTTTCATGTTAGAAATCTTTCTGGTGTTGTACTTCCATTCTCATCTAGGAAGATGCATTGTTGTATCATGAGTGAAACTAACCTGACATTTCTAGTATTGTCATTTCTAGAACTTTTAAATTTTATGTCTTAAAAGAAAAGTATAGACTATTTAAGGAACTACTTGAAAAGCCTTAGTTGGTTATAATTTGTGCCTTTGTGTGCATTATAACAAATACATGTGTATATACTGATAATATATATTTTATAACATAACACATGCACACACACACACACACACACACACACACACACACACACTGTTTCTGTGTTTGTCAGCCAACCACTACAATGTTCCCCTTTTCATCCCTTAAATGATTGCTCTAATTAGCTTCTGTCCATAGGACTCACGATACCTCACTTCAATTGTGAGACCATGGTGATTCAGGGATGTCAAGCTTTCAGATCAGCAGTGTTATTCCAAAGAAAGTAACCATTTGTACTACCATGTCTGAATCCTTTTGGGCTATATATGGAAAATGAGTATAGAAGATGAGAGAATACTTGACCTTAATTAGAAGAAAAGAATACTTGAGAGGGAGAAAAACAGGACAGAGAATATTCTTTGTTGCAAAATGTGCATCAAATTATTTCCAAAATTGGAACTGTGTGTGTGTCCGTCCTTCCTTTTTCTGAGAAACATCTTTGAAAATTCAAGAGTTTTATCGATATAACCAAGCCATTATTAAGAGGCCATGAAAACATAATACTATGACTATTTCAAATATATATTATTAGTTTTTGATGTTCTTTATTAGTACTTAATGCAAATTTCTTAGTAACTCAGTGAGAACTCAAATAAAGTTACTGTTTTTTTCCTGGTTTAAAAGAATTTTCAAACTGTTCTTATTGGTTTCCATATGATACATACTTAATCTTGGCATTCCCTCTCACTAGTTCACAGGATTAACTACGTGCATATTGTCATTGTGCAAGTACTGATTATTATAAAATGATACAGCCTGTGTGTTCTCAAGTCTGGGTCTAGGAGTAAATATGGCTGAGTTAAAGTCTCTCCACCACCCACAGTCTGCCATTGAAAGACAATATAAAATCACATTCATATGAAACATAATATTAAGTATTCAGATCAAAAAGTTAAAAACCAAAGGTTCAAAATTTCTAAGATGTCTGTGTTACTATAGAAACCCATTTGTGTAAAATTACACATGATTTAAATCATTCTCTCTCTCTCTCTCTCTCTCTCTCTCTCTCTCCTTCTCTCTCTCTCTCTCTCTGTGTGTGTGTGTGTGTGTGTGTGTCTCCTTTCAAGGACATTTCTCATTGCTACATTCATCTAAACCCTATATTTCCAAAGGGGACCAAATAGAGAAAGAAAAGCTTACCATTTATCATTGACACAATACTAAATACTCTTCCTATTTGTGTTTCAATCATATTCTTTGACATAAAATTCAACACTGCCCAGATACATGAAAGAGGGCCTAAGCTATCCCCCAAATGATGTGACAGACTTTGATGATTCCCCTGTGGAAGGCCTCACCATCCTTCTGGAGTGGGTGGGTGGGTTGGAAGGATCGTGGTGGGCATAGGAGGATAGGAGGACAAGGGAATGGGGGACTGATCTGTAAAATAAGATTGTTTCTATAATAAAAGAAAAAATCAACACTGTTTTTGACTGCTTGCATAGTATTGCTTTGGTGAAGTTTTATTGCAAATTAATGTCTGATTTTCTCAAAGTGATGTCAAAAGTTGCAAAGACAAATATGTCTTAGAGATGTCACAGTGTGAGTGCATTGATAGTTTAAAGGGAGTAAGAAAATACTAGTTGCTTCATGGCAGAGCTAGAAGCCCAGTTCCTTTTTAAAAAAATAATTTTTGTGGGCCAATGTAAACTAAACTCTCCTCCTTGAGTTCTGAATATTTTGATAAGAAAGATAGTGGAGTAAAGGACATGGGATTAGAATACATTTTTTATATTTACTTTTATACAATAATTCTGCCTTTGTCTCTTCCATCTTGCAGAGTGCCTCATGGTGCTAAAGGACAGTGCCCAAAGGAAGCCAAATGTGAATAAAAAATATTTTCCCTTACAGTATTTAGTAAGCTTTAATTATTTTTTATTTTAAACTATATTTGTATTCATTCTTTTAAGAATTTCATGCATATATACAATGAGCTTTTATCAAATCTGCCGCTGTCCTAGTCTCTCCCCTTTAACTACTAGCACAGCCACCAAGAGAGTATTTTGAATCCACTGAGTACTATTTGTACTGCCAATATTTATGGTTGTAGGGCCATCCACTAGAGGATAGGCAGCCAAACAGGGATCAAATTCCAAATGAAAACTGATTTTCCATTCCTCCCAGCAGTCACTGGTTGCCAATAGCTTCTAAGCTAGGGCTTGGGCTTCATGAGGTCCTCCTCCATTCCTGGTGGATGTTGACAGCCTTGACTAGGTTTTTTAGTCATTACTTAGCTTAACAGAAATTCAAAGGATCAAGAAGGTTGTGCTTTTGGCTAAGAATAAAGGTACACAATAGGATTATTTTTACTTGTCAGTATCCCTATAGCAGTCAAAATTGTATTTCACATACAAATTTCAGATTTAAAAAATTGGAAAAGAAAAACAGAGGGTGAACAGAGCTGATCTTTCTCATTGCCTATAGTTTCTGAAACAGAATTCAAGTTGTTTTATGAAATGAACAAATTAGGCTTCACACTGATTTTTAAAGTGGGTCCTGGAACTTATACCATATCTTTTGCTATGGAAGATTATTTAAATTGTATTATGAGAGATTAAGTATTAAAGCAAGTTTTATTTAGAGGAGGTCAAAGTTCAAAGACAGAATGATAAGATTGCTTTTTAAAAACAAGAAAAGCTTTGTCCATTTTTAAGCAGGAACTAACAAAATACCTAATTAATAATGACCATATTTGAACTTGTCTTCACTTTATGTTTTCAAGATTCTAGTACATTTTAAATGTTATTCTATCTATTCCTCATTTCAAACCTTTCAGCTCAATAATATTCTTATCTGCATACTCTCAGGAAAGGAAAGTGACCCATGAGCTAAGGGTACCATTTGAAACTTGAGCAGTCCATCCCTGAAGACTGCTTAACTCCCAAGGCATCAAACTTCATCTAGAATAAAAAACAAAATGAGGTCAACTTAAGCTTATTTTAAAAACCATTAATTGGCCATCAAACAGTACATTCCCAGGGCACTAGACTCTGACAGAAATATCCTGGCTGTAGAATCACATAGCCTTGTTTTCTGTGGTGCTTAAATGTATTAAGCCAAGGCACACACAGATGTCAATAGATGACATGAACCGGACCACTTCAATATGACATTTATTTATTATTCAATATGACGTTTTGTCCTAGATCTTGAAAATAAGTCTCGTATTCTCCTAGAGCCTACTCTGTAGAGCAGAGAAACTTGAGAAGAATTTTCTCTTGTGAGGTGGGAGCTGTAATTCTGAAATGAATAAATCCTTCAGAAAAATCTTTGCATTTATTCAGTCTTTTCTACTGGGTCCCATCTTTTGTATTCTATTTTTGTTTTTGGTTATGACTGCTTTCTCACCTTCTTCAAGTTCCTATTCTGTAAGTTTTCCAAAGTCACCTTTCCCACACACCATTTTTTGATCCCACGCTATAAAGAATTCCAGTTTAAAAATTGTATTGATAAAATTGGAAGACAAGTAATAGGTCTGACTTTATCCCCATAGTCACTAATGCTATGGATCTTTTCTAAACCTTGTTTTAGCTTCATGAAAAGGGAAACATAACTCCTATTGACCTAAATGGCCATACTTGATAAACAAATTGTGGTCATGGGGGCTAGATCTTGCTGTATGAGGTCATCCTGGAAATTGCCTACTCCTACCAAGTCAAACTTCTGAAAAGATTCATGAACACATGGGGCAAAGAGTGTTTCTATTTGTGGTTAGATGGAAGGTGGTCAGAGGCAACTGCTTTTATTTAGGTTTTATTTCTGCTCTATCAGAGAAAAGGAGGGAATAAATTTACTCTCAGTGTTCTACCCGTGTGTGTGTGTGTGTGTGTGTGTGTGTGTGTGTGTGTGTGGCGTGTGTGCATATTACATTTGAGTGAGAATTGTCTCAAACAAAACTGGGGAAAGGGAGCTTCAGTGTTAATCTTTAGCACCTTATAAATAAATCTGATTGGAAATATAATAAAAAATAAGTGTTAGTACATGGGCAATTTTGACACAATTTTTGGAGACATTGCTTTTGGGCATTGTCTCACTGAAATTTTAAACTCAATCTATTTTAAGTTTAATTTACATTTAACACTTACTATGCTTCCAAAAACTAACCAAACAAACAAACAAAGTCTTCCTTAGAGATAGCAAATGGATAATCAAGTGGTTTGACTCTTGGGAACATGATTTGTTTAAGCATGCTTGGGTTCTTGATTTACCTGTAGACATTCTATATAGTATGAAGCAGTCTAAAGTCTTTCAGTTGTATGGAGAACAGTTGGCTGTAGCTAGATAAGATAAGGAAGAATAGAAAGGGCATCAGATATCATATCTCTGTCTCAGAAGCCTGTCTGTTATCCAGACAAAGAGACATGTGCACAAGAAGACTAGATATAGAATGAGTGATAAGCACTGTTTTGTCTAATATTGCCTCATCATCTAATACAGAATCCCTATCCTTTGTGAGTTCTTCTAATAACACTCAAGGCTTAATAAATTCTCCCTATGAGTTTAATGGATGCTTAACAAATATTTGTTGTGAATAAATCCCTATCATGTATCCAATGACTTCCATCAGACACAGAAAAGCCTAACAACAAACACTGTGACTTGTCTGGCCTGTATCAACAGAATAGCATCATTTTGCTCACTTCCTTCTTTATATATCAGTCACCAATTAGCCACATGGTACATTATAAGGCATCCACTAATGATGTAACTTCATGGACCAGTGATGGCTGAGCAACATCAAACTTCTGCCAGAGGGTAAACATTCATTCAGACTTCACTTCCTATCGTTTAAAACCTAAGAAGGAGACAGGTAGTTAAAACCATGTACAAAATACCTTAAGATAGAGATTATTTCTTTTGTATGTCCTAAGGAAGGCATGTATAGAATTTAAAAGCAGCTGCTTTCAGAGGCATCAGGCTTCACAGGATTAGGGAAACGTGGCATAATGTTTTCCAGTTAGTGCCTCCCCCTTTTCTGGTTTTGAGTATGCTAAGATTAATGGAGAATGTGGTAATCTTTATTTCAAACCATTGAGTTCTAAATTTAGTGCCAATGTAGCAAGTACTGCAAGGAAGATGAACACTATCCTTTTCAATTTCAGGAGCTGGTAAGTCACATTGCTTGTTTTTAGATGAGCAGATGTTCATCTCTGGGTAATGCCATAAGGGATGCTCTGCTTATTCAAATAAATAGATTCCCTGGCTGTGAATGATGATGAGGTTCACACATCTCTCATGTGATATACACACACATTCGATCACTAACATATACACCTCCACACTTTGCGTTCTTCTGTCTTTCCTCTCTTTGGAAAAAAAAGTCAAAATTAACAGTGGAAATTGATTAGCTTTTTCCACATTTTTATAGTCTTGTTCACTATGTGGGAAAACTGGAAAGCTTCATGCATTATTATCGAATAAACAATAAACAAAAAGTCATTTCCTTAGCCAAATGATTTTTGCATCTACATCAACACCATGATTGGCTTGAGTTTGATTATGAGGAAATACCCAGGGGCCTGTAAAATACTATGTTTTGTTATTACTGCTGATATTTTTTAATTTAAATATTCTCCTTTACAGATATCCTGCTTATGAGTTTATTTTTAATCTGTTATTTATTTTTTATATTACTGCTGTTGACAAACAGATCTCTGTTTTACTTTCATGTATTAAGGAGAAAATTGAGAACAATTTTACCATAAGTTTTGCATATTTGTGAGTGCGTGTGTGTGTTTGTGTGTGTGTGTGTGTAGGCACATGCACAAATATATATGTGTTAAAATTATTACAAAAGCCATCAGTGATTCCTCTAACACTAAAATGTAAGTGCCACCATACGTTTGCTTCTGAGAATGTCACCTAAGCCACAATGACCTTCAAAATCTTATTTGTATGGCAATGTAAAACACTGTGAACTCTTCTCTTTTCCAAAATTACCAGGAATATACAATAGATGTGTTTTTCCGTCAAAGCTGGAAGGATGAAAGATTAAAATTCAAAGGGCCCATGACAGTTCTTCGGTTAAACAACCTCATGGCCAGTAAAATCTGGACTCCAGATACGTTTTTCCACAATGGAAAGAAGTCTGTGGCCCACAATATGACCATGCCTAACAAACTCCTGCGCATCACAGAAGATGGCACATTGTTGTACACCATGAGGTAAGGACAACCTCGATTCCTGAAGGAAACTGTCGGGACTTCTTGTTCTGCTACAAGAAGTAAATCATCAGGGTGACAGGCCATGATTGGTCTTTGGGTTTTCAGTCTTTTAAGCATTAAGTTTATTCTGCTAAGCAATCATAATGCTGTGAAATATCATGAAATCATGCAATGTTAAATAAAACGTGAATGAAGTCTAGTCTATATTAGCTGCAGAGGCTGTAGTTCCAAACTGTTTTAATTCAACAAGAGAACCTTTTAATCCCTGATATGAATATTTCCTTGCATTCTGATAAGGTCTAGTCAAATTTCTAAAATCTATCTAATGGTAGATATTCAAAAATATTTCTACAGAAAAGGAAGACAAAATGAAAAGCATGATTATACAAAGTTCTTTTAAAAATTCACGATTTCTCAAATAGTGTTCTTAGCTAGAGTCGGTTAATTTGGCTTAGTCTGAAGACTGTATCTGTATGTGTGTATGATATAAAAATGACTGAAATCACTGAAAAGCATGTCATAAGTATACAATGTCTTAGACATAGAATAAAGAAGGCATGAAACACGAAAACAAAAATAATAAATAATTTTTATGAAAAGACATTTTTACATACTTTTTTTTTTTT